CAGTTGTTACCCCAACACGGTAACCACCAAATATTAACAGATCCAATCAGCCTTTCTGTACAAAACAACATTGGGGCTGCTTTCCATTTGTTTTAGCTGAATAACCAAGGGAAAGAGAGTGGTCTCATGTCACTCAGGTTAATAATGTTGTCTTATTCAGGGGTAAACAAGGAACAGTATCTTTCCCATCATGTTTGTAAGTCCCTCCCAAACTGATATACTGAACGTAACACAGAGTTCTCGATGCTTCAGAAGAGTCAGAACTGTCATTGAGGTCATTACACTGCTGTCATTATAATCCCCCAAAACAAAAGTACAGATTTAGTTTTATTGTGACAGATAATGTCCAATGGAAGCTAACAGCTCACTCAGTGAGATGCAAGTAATAAAAAGGATTATTATTATTATTATTATTTATCTTTGTCATCTTTGTGCCAGAAATGAGAAAGAAACACAGAAAGAAGATGAGCGAGAGAGAAAGTGGGTGAGAAGAAATGTTTCATATAATGCAAAAAAACTGTAAATCGCATAAAAACATAAAGATATTTGCAAGCAAAAAATACAATGCATGTTGTTTTTCTATCTGATTCACAGAAAAATACAATGTATAAAAACTATATAATAAAGATTCTTCCTCAAGCATTTACATTATAGCCATATGATGAAGAACTGATTATAGTGAGTGCTTCGTGTGTGTAATACCACACACAGGCCACAAGAGGGCAGCACTGTTATACAGCTTTACAGACAACACGTCCACGGCTGATCAATTGAAAGGTTTATTGTACTTTATTAATAAATTAAATGCTTTACATGTGACACATTTCACAGAAGTAGAGCTCAATAAAGAAGCTTCAAGAAAAAAGCATAGAGTCAAACCAAGGACATTACTCCTGCAACATGAGCCAGAGGTATTTATCTTAATTTTAATTAAAATCATCAAAGGTTGCTGAGTTTTCTTCTGATTTTCAAGCATTTTAGTTTTATACAAATGCTAGAACTGTAGTTATGACTTAGCTCAGTATAAAATGAGTTTTAACTGACAAATTTGCTTCACCATTTTAAGGGATGAAGGGTCCTGTCCTGGCAACGCCTGACTAGAAACTAGAGCAGCAGTCACAGAGTCCCTCCTTACTCAGTACTATGTTAACAGTCTTTACAGAAAGACATTGAGAGAAATTAGGATTACAGGGAAAACTGGAAATTTAATTCATTGTGATTTTCAACATATTTTGGTTGGCTCGTGTGATGGGCACACAATCAATGGTGGATCAATGTCCCTCTTAAGGGGAAACTCCCACTGGGGCTTAAAATCTGGGACTTTCCACCATTTGCCTTTTAGAACCAAAGAAACTTCTCGGATGAAACATCCTCAAGAACTTACAGAGGTCCAGTCCCTTTATTTCCAGACTTCTAAGATAAATAACTAATAACACATTTTACGATGATTTATGAATACTCAAGTATTTCCTGTTGAATATGGTCCAGTGTGTTGTACCTTCACTTACTTTTAGTGTGCAGCAAATCTATTAGTATATTTACATATAAAGATTGTGTTATTCTACCCCACGCATAATCAGCAATTATAGCAGAATTTTTTCTCAAATAGACAAATGTGCACAAATTATAATTATTAAATTGCAGAAATGAAAAATTAGCAACTAATGATATTTTCTTGCTATCTGAAAAATTTACACTTGGTGAAGAATTAACATTTTTGCGTTTTTCATGCAAATTTTTGTTTATGGATTACTGTGCAAAAAAAGGCATTTCCATAGAGAGGCACTTTGCATCAGCAGCACCATGCTCCAGTGCTCTGGGAGAGTTTATAGTCCTGAGAGTTGAACACTGGATGAC